GAAATAGGGTGAATACATCTCATTACACTGATTTACTGGTAGTCTCGAAACCCTACTCAAATACGACCATAAGCATAAAACAGCCAAGCAGATCATGGAATGCTTCATTAAGATCGAAAATTGAGGTATAAGAAGCAAGTATAATCTCAGTCGGCCACCTCTCTTGGTTTGGGGTTTTTTACGAATGTTTGTAAATAACGGTTTCAGGACAGTGAGCAGATGCGTTCTTTGCACAATCCAACAATAACAAGTCAAAGGCAACCCTCCTTCGGTATCTCGTGTGATCAATTTGCGAATCCGTTCCACCCACCTTCTCAAATGGAATAAAGGGTATGCCAAAATGAGGAAATTAAGACAGTAATACCAAGTCTTTGCAAATTTGAATGTTGGATTGCGCGAAGAAGAATTCCACTCACCGTCCTGCGACCCCGATGACTCTGTGCCAAAGTTTTCATTCGTCATGAAACGGACATCGTCAAGGCCTAAAAGCATGATTTATGAACAATCAACAACATACACTAAACCTGTCTTGGTGTGATGCGTTTTGGCGATTGTTTGTGAATGGTTGTTTCATGCTCTGACGATGTGCATCACATGATGGATGAAAGCTCAATGCCGATAGATCAGGGTGGCAGGACGGTGGGCCGATGTCTTCTTCGCACAATCCAAAATCCACGAGTTCAAGGCAATCCTCCTTCAGTATCCGGTGCCGCCACTTTACGACACCTTCGCGTCCACCTTTTCGAACGGACCGAAAGGCATGCCAGTATGAATCGACTAAGGGATTCTTCGACACTTTAACATTCACTTCACATCTCAAGAGTCCACTCTCCATCTTGAGATTTGTTAGGCTATTCCAGAGGATAGAAGTTGTTCGGCTTTGCTTTCGCAACAAGAGACAAGTCTCTTGTCTGAGAATGGCAAGATTTACTGATGACGCCGGCGAAACGTCTGTGAATGTACCAAGTCCACGAGCCGACTATGGAAATGGTCATGCACACTATGGCATCCGGACAAGCTGCGTTCTTCGCAGTACTCCTGCCAGCATGAACAGGTTGCGAAAACGGGGTCAAGCAATTTCTGCACAACGCAACAAGACCGCGACCGTACAAAAGGTTACGCCTATTCCAGAGTGTGTTATCCATTGGCTTTTCATCACGTTTCGCTTGTCTAAGTGCTATCTGCTAACGCGGTGCACTGAAGCCCGTGTCGGTGCTGAGTGGAAACGGCAGTGGCCGAGGCAACGGTAGTTGACTGCCTCGGCAGAAGCTAATACTGCCCAACGGTACCGCATAAGTGTGTACACACTCACCTGTCAACCGGCTTCAGTAGACCGAGGCTGGCTCTTCAGGCGTCCCGGCAACTGCTTCCAGAATGGGCCTAGACGAAGAGTTGCCGCCGGACTGGAGGGACGCCGAGAGGAGGCTGGGGAGGTGGAGGAAGCGGGAAAAGAGGGGGCGGGCCAGCGCGAGGGAATGGGCAAGGAAGCCGGTAGCCTCGTGTAGGGGTAAGGGGGCTGCCAGGATCCGGTGGATACGGGAAGAGAGCCCTTTTGGCAGACGCCCACGGAGAGGCTTTGACTGGACGGCGAAAGAAGATACCGCCAGTACATATGCACACTTGCAGCGGGCACATGTGCAGTCGTGGGTTGGGCAAATGCGGCAGAAGAGCAGATCGGGTATAATTGAAAAATGGAGAGCCGAGTCAAATAATGCCGACGGGAGAAAAACGCGTGCAAACAGGTGGTCGCACCGCGACTACACGTTAGCACCGAGCCAAGACAAGATGGATTGATGCTATCCTTTTGTCTGCAGGTCTTGCAGCAGAGGTTATCTCCTCCCTCTGCGTTGGTCGTTCTCCTTTTCAACTTCAGCATAACTCCCAGCTTATCTCTGTAAACAATACCGCTGCTCGTTGGGTGTGTACAGTTTCCCGGTTTGTCTGAAGAGACCTATTGAAATGTAAATCGTCAAGTAATTCCCAACTTTTGGTTGCTCCAAAGTAAACAATAGCCGGTCAACACAATCTGCCAACAGTGTGAGGTTTGGCTTTGGTTTCGTGTTTAAGTTAATTAATTACCATTTTACAGCGAGTAGACCATTTAGACTGGTTAAGTGCTCCCAAATCTGGTAGGTGAGCCGCCCACGGCGAATTGAAGAGCGGGCTGGATTAGCAACCAAGTTGTGCAATCGACTTACTAACCAGACATTTTGGCCGCTTCGGCATTGCCTTTCGTTGGTTGAACTCCTCTTGTGGCACTCGGCAGGGGACTTTGCGCCCCTCTAATCCGACCTTTTGGCACTCTTTTGATGGTATCTTGTTGAATTGAAAATTGTGCCTTTGCTGGCCACAAGAGGTCTGCATCTCCGCAAAAGTCATGCCCTCACCACAGTTACTTGGGACAAACTTTCTGGCGTCTGACTGACGATATGTTTGTCTCTGACTCCTGCAAGACGGCATGCTGAGGGCTATTCCGATCAGGAGGCGACAGTGGTTGTTTGGTTATTTTTGTTGTGCATTTGTTTATGCATATAATTGGGCTAAAGTTGGCCACAAATAGACGTTGACGCGTTAGCTCCTACACTTTTTGGATTTAATTGAGCCATAAAAACAAAAGATCAAGACTACGATTTGATAGGACAACAATAAGCTAAAGGATTTCAACTTTTTATCACGTGGCCCATGAAGGTAGATCCTTCCAGATTTTCCTCAATGATGAAAATAATCACTACTCAGCTCTAAGTAGACGTAATGCCAGTTGCAAAAAGACAGATACAAATCTAGACATATGCAAGTATTTTTCGTAGGTAAGTAGAGTTTCGAAACTGCAAGTAAATCAGTAATATGGGATGTATTCACCCTATTTCGTTTAAGGTGATGACGGAATAGTAGCAAAATTTTCCCATAATGATATGAGTAGGGCTGACGCTTCCATTGAATTTCACATAGTCTTGCTTTCTCGGAAATATTCAGCGTTTCTCTCCTGTCTTATACCGACTCATCACATGCATTAATTATCTTCTTTCGTTGCCATTTAAATGACGTTTTCTTTGGTCTCTTTGAAAAGGCACTAGAAAGTAAGTGATATTGCATTCAACTGGCTGTTTCCTCGTCCAATTTACCCACTTCTAGTATACCTCCTTTGGATTCAGGGTCACTTCAGGCCTACTTTTGTCTCTGCAATACCCTTTTCAGCTTTCACTCATAATCGGTCCTTACGACTCGGAATCCCAATGGATTTACATTATTTGCTCATCTGTATGAACCTCGAGGGAAGCCATTCCATTTCAAATTCATCTTAGAAACAGTCATCGAGGTGTTTACTCTATTCTACTATCCATATGATAACCCAGTTCCATGGCGGTGTTGAGAGGCGCTTTTCTAGGTCGTAGCTGCATCCCATTCTTGAAGAGGCTATTTTGGAGGGCAAAGCAAAGTGAAATTTAGTGTAGATACGAAGAAAAACTGGGTTCCGATGAATCTCCTGAGATAACATTGTTAGAGGGACCTTCATTTCGTATGAAAATGCATGAAGAAGAGATTCGTTGGTCGATCTCACCAGATGAGGACGGAGAATCTCCTGAGATAACATTGGACCTTCATTTCGTATGAAAGTGCATGAAGAAGAGATTCGTTGGTCGATCTCACCAGATGAGGACGGATGGTACTGCAGCCGGTTGGATTGTATTATGCCATCTTTTAGAGAGAAATATGACCCATTATCTAGCTCCGGCTGCTCCAAGATTCTTTGCTAATGTGGTCGATGTTATGTTGATGAGACATGCCGACCTATTCGACAAAGATTGATAGAACATAAAAATGCT